TAATAATAATATAATAATAATAATAATAATAATAATAATAATAATAAGAAGAAGAAGAAGAAGAAGAAGAAGAAGAAGAAATAATTTATATTTTACTTTGCAGTTTCTTTGGTTTACAACTTTTGCTTCTTGTCATGATGATGATCCTAAGAAGTCTTCATTATTTCTTCTTTATTTCCTCTTTCTTATGTTTCTAAGATCTTTTGTGTGGTTGTCGAAGCTCCTGTACTTTTCGTCAGCATCTGACGTCTTTTGTTTCTGTTTTCTTTCATTTGTTTTGTCATCTGATTTGTTGTGTCAGGCAAAATAATAAATAATAAATAATAAATAAAAAATAATAAATATCTTATAAACAGGATTTTGAAATCAATGTGAAATATATTATTGGTTTATTTATGCTGTTCTTCTGTTTCTCTCGTTCATTATTTATCTATTGCTCTTTCTCCTTTGTCTCTTCTCATCACTGCACTGCTCCCTTTTACCTTTTCATGTCATTTCTCAATTCTTTCCTCGCTCTTCCCTTCCTCTCCCTCTCCTTTCTCATTATTCTCTCTCCTCCGTTCCTTCTTTTTTCAGGTCTTGTTGTCACTACCTGTCAGTCAACACTAAACAGAAATTTCGTAATTTATTTAAGATTTTGTGGTGCAGATTTTGTGGCCTTTCAACCAAACACGTCTTAACCAAAGGTGTTTTTGTCATTCTCTCTTTTGCCCCTTTTACTTATTTTTTCACCATCTTTCCCTTTCCATTTCTTTCCTCCATTCTTTTCCACTTTCCATTGTTACGGAATGTTCGCTTTCTTCCTGAAGAAAGTTGGAAGGGTGATAAGAAGCATCTTACGGGTTGTTACTAGTGAGTAATGAGTTTGTGGATACTTGTGGATACCTGTGGATAGTAGTTGGTACTTGTGGATACTTTTGAATGCACTTTAGCAAGTGTGGATACTTTTGCTTCCCCTTGGATACGTTTAGATATCACTGGGTATTTAAGGATTCTTGTAAGACGTGTGTTTTGAGAGAGAGAGAGAGAGAGAGAGAGAGAGAGAGAGAGAGAGAGAGAGAGAGAGAGAGAGAGAGAGAGAGAGAGAGAGAGAGAGAGAGAGAGAGAGAGAGAGAGAGAGAGAGAGAGAGAGTGTACACTCGCCTAATTGTACCTACCTAATTGTGATTGCAGGGATCGAGTTATAGCTCCTGGCCCCGCCTCTTCACTGGTGTGTGTGTGTGTATGTGTGTGTGTATGTGTGTGTGTGTGTGTGTGTGTGTGTGTGTGTGTGTGTGTGTGTGTGTGTGTGTGTGTGTGTGTGTGTATGTGTGTGTGTGTGTGTGTGTGTGTGTGTGTGTGTGTGTGTGTGTGTGTGTGTGTGTGTGTGTGTGTGTGTGTGACTGTGTTTTCTTTAAACTAGTAATAATGTTAATCTGACGTTGCTTAATCTCATATTTATGTTCCTTTTTCCATCTCCAGGAACTTGACTGTTTCTGTTCCTTTCCAAGGAACAACAGAAATAAACACTAGTGTTCCTTCTAGTGAAGCCGGAGATTAATGGCGTAAAAGTTCCCACCAGAAAACACTAGTGTTCCTTCTAGTGAAGCCGGAGATTAATGGCGTAAAGTTCCCACCAGAAAACACTAGTGTTCCTTCTAGTGAAGCCGGAGATTAATGGCGTAAAGTTCCCACCAGAAAACACTAGTGTTCCTTCTAGTGAAGCCGGAGATTAATGGCGTAAAGTTCCCACCAGAAAACACTAGTGTTCCTTCTAGTGAAGCCGGAGATTAATGGCGTAAAGTTCCCACCAGAAAACACTAGTGTTCCTTCTAGTGAAGCCGGAGATTAATGGCGTAAAGTTCCCACCAGAAAACACTAGTGTTCCTTCTAGTGAAGCCGGAGATTAATGGCGTAAAGTTCCCACCAGAAAACAAACTAATCTCGCTGAGATCTAATCACGTCTTGACAAAGTGGTATAAATTTGCAAAAATGGAAACTTAAAGTCTGGTTTGGATTATTTTTTAAAGATTAGCTTTTCTGGAAGTCAACACCTAAATGCATTTTCTGCTATGTACATTTTCTTCAATGTCTCATTGTAACCGATGTTTGCTTATATTTTTGGCATCTCTGCTGGAACTAAACTTGTTAGGATGTCCAGTTATTCTGTTTTTGTATATTAATTATATATTTTTAAAGGGGGTTGAACAGTAAGCCAGCGGAAGGCCTCGGTTAGATGACTAAAAGCTCCTGCTGCAGGTGATCATACGACTAAGACCCGCGTCAGGATATAGTTATCCTGTTTCCTGAAGAACCTTGCCTAAACCTGTTTATTTTCGATAATGTCATAGATTCGTCTTGAATGAGTAAAAACTCATAGCTAATCAAGCGCTATTTACGTTCTTACAAACACTAATTTACATAGATCAGCAACTTCAGAATCCACCCCTTCTCAGTAACTTATTGCTTTAACATTCCACAAGAATTACATTAGTTTGTAATTCACCCTTCTCTCTTCCACCACTTCCTCCCCCGGAAAATATCCAGTCATTCCACCGAGATCAGTGTAGCTCATTCTCCCGCTCGTCTCATTTCTATACCATCTCTCAGAAAATCTAATTAAAAAGTTTGCAGTATTTCCACTTTAGCACTCAGCACTCCAGCCTCACTATATTATTGTATGTGACAACTCTGCCTCCTTCAGGAACTTTGCTCGTAACTCTCCTCCTAGTCTGGTATTCTGTTTAAAACAGAACACAAAAATTCACATTATATTATTGATAATAGAAAGTGGCCTTTGTCACTCGTCTTTTATTTAAATAATATGCTTTATGAATGGATGGAAGGGAAGATATTCACTTCTAAAAACAATATAATTCGTCAGTGAAAGAGGTAAACTCATGTGGGTCAGGGTAAGAAACGGTAGAGTCTTCATCTTCTGACCATCATTTGCAACGCAGACTCGACTTTCAAATGTTCCTCACCTTAGAGACCCACGTTTAAAAAGGTAAAGACAGTTTCGATAAACTATACCACGGGTGGGACTTGAGCTCGCGGTTAGAGAGTCGTAAAACTCCAGACCGACGCGTTAGCCCAGCCCGTGGTATGGTTAGTCTGTAATCGTGTCATTACGATTTCTTTAGACAGCTTCGATAGTTTTTTCCGTAATTCATTGAACCCGCTGACTCATGCTCCGGATTTCGTGTGAGTGATGCCTCCTTAGTTACCCAGAAGCATTTTTTTGTGTTCTTTTCAACAGTTCTACGTACCATGTTGTGGAGGATACTCCAGCAAGCAAGGAAGCGTGAGGATCGAGGTTTTTTTTATCACAAATTTTAGAAAAATGGAATTGAGGGTAATGTGAAATTATACTATTAGACTCGTTTGTCTTCAAACCTCATTCGACACTGAATCTACTTGAGTTCCGTCTTAAGAAACATCCTTATCTATCGTCTTATTAAAAATTAAGAACTTAAGAAGGTCTGTTCAGTTAGGCATAACTGAAATAAATCAATTTGGCATAACTGAAATAAATCAATTAGGCATAGCTTAAATAAATCAATTCGGATAAACACATATCTAAAAAGCAAATATTTACTTACATATTCTGGTAAAACCTTTTTTTTATAGACTCACATAGTGTCTGGAATTATATTGTCGTTTTTGGCTTCCACTTTGTTTCATAGTTTTACATCATATTTTTTCTTTTCTCTCTTAGATTCAGAGTTGCTCTCCCAGCTGCGTCTTGTAAAGTCAAACTACGACATCAGACACTTATCACTTGTTCTCTGCTTCGTCTAATCTGGGACGGCTTCCATTTCCTCTTTCATTATCTTTTCTTGCTAAAGATTTTCATTTTGACCGTACGTGTGCCTTTTTTAAAAGCATTTTATAGTGATAATATATCTAGCTGTGAATCCTTCAAGCTGATTAGCAAACTCAAGTTTATTTTTTTTAAAGCTGAAAAGAGAAAAGTCTTAAATTCACTCTCTTATCTTTATACTTTTCCTGTTTGCGAGTTTTTTTTCTTTTTTTTTTTACCCTCCTCCCCTGGTGGTGACCTAAATAGAATTATTCTGATTTTTTTTATTCTGATTTTTTTGGAATACCTGAAGTTGTTCGTGTTATGTTAGCTTGTTTCAATAGGTACACACATTGTTTTAATATTTTGACACTGTTTGCTTTCTCTCTCTCTCTCACACACACTCCCTTACACACACACACACATTAACACGTTTCCTGTGAAGAGAATGGGAGAACTGAAACAGACAGTACATTACCAAATGAGAGATAAAATGTACGTCTAGAAGATAATACACTACAAGGATGTATGAGACTCTGGGTCCTTCACTCCAGATGCTTTCAAAAAAAGGATAACACTGATAGATGTGTGAAAGGCTTGCAGGAGCCTCAACGATAATTCATTAGGATCAATATGCAACACATCGGATTATATTTGAGCATTGCAGCACCAGTGATTAAACTACATCTGCAACACATAGGCTAGATGGTCAAGACGCAATCCAAACACGAGTTGAATTAACGGAAAAACTTGTATTTACTAAGAAGTTGAGTTGTTACCTATCTCAATTTATTTCCAAGTCTTTCTTTGCATTATCTTTATTAAATGCTTATATTATTACATAGTTAAGATACCCGTTTTAACTTTTAAATATAAATAATTATTTTTACAATGACCCCAATGGAAATAAGTCACTTTGTCTGACTGTTTTTTTGGGGTTTTCTTAGGTTCTCTACACATATGCTATGTATAATAATCTATGTAACTGTATTTGTGTATACCTAAATTAACTTACTAAAGAAATGGCTATAAGCCAAGAGATGTTGTACGAACATCTTCTAGATTTGAGTCATACTAGAAGTGAATTGGCCCAGATGACATAATGGTGTGAACTTTACCAGCTAGTGTATTACGATAATAATTCTTAGGAAACTTTTTTTAATTACGTTGTTGCTGTTTTCAAAGTTAGATGAAGGAAGACACACTAGAATAGACTTAC